ACGAAAGGTGCTTGTCGAATGTTGTCGTCGTCGTGTTTGTGCGTTGAGGTTGTGTTTCAGAAATGGAATCGCAGGTGCTATGTGACCGATATTAGACGGCTTTTATATTCGATCGCTGGAGTTGTCGGTTCTGATTTCGGCGCTGATGGCGAGCTGATTCGGCCGGTGAGGAGGTGGTGCTGCGTCTTACAGACTGTGTACTGGCGAACTGAAGCCGTTGTCTCGCGAGGTCCATCTAGTTGGAGCAGTTAGCGTGTGTTTCGTGGTTGATGGTGAGGAACGAAAGGCTGTTAGTGCTGTTCTTAAAACCGATTAAAGAAGTAGCGGCAGCATATCTATGGGCGCTCTGTGAAATCATCGTGATGTCATGAATTCCTTTGCAACTTCGGGTGAGATCTTTCATTCCATTATTATATGAAACATTAAATGCTGGGTACAAGACGGTCCACCAGGGCACTCGATTGAAGCGAAATGGATGGGGAGAGTGGAAATTCCAACTCCTTTTCTTTAACATTTCGTGAAAAGAGGGCGGGCTCTTCCTCCCAGTCATTGGGATATCCTCCTGTTGGATGGCCTGTTTTTTGACCGGTTGTATTATCCTGTTGTTGAAAGGAGATTCTCATGCATCCCGTGGATACACGTGGGCGATATTGCCCACGGATTCACCCGCATCGTTTTTGGCCCTTCATACAATGGCAGGATGAGTACAATTAGATGTTATTCAACTTGATCAAGTCGAACAGCTAGGATAGCCCACAGTCTACCGACAGTTGTCTTGCTACAGTGAGTGGTAGTTCCATATAATATCATACCATATCATCCGAAAATCCCGACGGGACCGACTGGGATTGAACCCAGGCCCTTCGGAGTGAGAGCAATCACGCTTACTACTACAGCATCGGCGCCGCTTCAAGATCTTATTCGTTCAAATACCAAATTGCTCAGAAATTAATTTAAAGGTCTCCAGGTGATCATAGATCTCCAAAAAGTCCTCAAATTACTAGTTCAAGACTTCAGCTTGATCAGGTATTATTCTGAAGATCTCAAATCACACATCAATCCAAATCATATCTCGCAGATATCAACTCAAGATACCACACGGATAGAAATCTCCTTATACCTTTTGGCAAATTTCTATTGCTGATTATTCATAACATGTATAAATCAACTAATAAGCAGACGCATTGCAAAAAGTTAATGAAGTTCATGTGTCAAATGAAATGTATAAGCGGTCACACATACCTTTTATGCATTCTTATAGGACCTATGTGGTTTGTATTATGGAATGTATAAGGCTGATGTTTTGGCAAAAATGTATAAGTGAAACATATGAATAAATTAATTGATTTTCGTTTCGTGCAGGTTGCTCAGAAATTATTCAAAAGATCTCCAGGTAATCATAGATCTCCAAAATATCTTCAAGATATCTGTTAAAGACTTAAGCGTGATCCGGTATCATTATGAAGATCTTCAACTGCCCAACAATTCAAATCACATCCCCAAGATATTCTCAAAGATTATTGGTTGTGTGCGACTTACCTTGCAAAGAGCTGGTTCGAAAGTGAGTGGAGAGCAATCATCTACCAAGAAGGAGGGTTGCTGAAGCCACCACTATTGGTGGTGTCAGCACTGTAGCCTACAGTTTTTATACTATGTTTATATGTGCATTGACGACACGTATGCGTTAAAAATGTTATGTGAATAATCATTAATGAAACTTGAATTTATGATGATTAGCTTGTCTAATTTAAAAATTAATATAATACATATTTAATTCCTACATGTACGTGCTTGTTGAACATTTATCTCGATTATTTTGCCTTATAGCGTGGCATCAAACATCTATATGGACGGAGCATAATTTCTCAATGTTTGCATCAGCTGTCTTAGATTGGCAGATAATCGAGCCAAAGACCCAACAACTTTGGCATCAAGCAAAATGTTGGTGGATGACGTTTATGCCACTGAAGAAGTGGTGGAGAGTTGCCCGTGTGTGTTTATGAAGCGTTGCCATAGAGACCTCTGTTTACCAGCATTGAACTGTTGCGCTTACAACGGAGGACACCTTGCTGACTCGTTAAAATGCTGTCCAGACTGGATAGTTATAACATGTTATAACGGTTGTCAAATAATTGCAACACAGAGTTGATGGTGGTAGCGCTATAACATGTTATAACTGTGTAGTCTGAACGTACTATAAGCGTCAATTTAAGACCTGCTTACACTAGCGCTAATATATGCCACACAAGTTGCTCAAAAACTATTTAAAAAAAACCCATAGCATAATAGAACACCTTAAACACCTCAGAATGTTTTTTTTACGATTTCAGATTGATCAGGAATCATTCCAAAATCATTCATGTGTTTTTTGATCTCCATAAACTCGTCCGGATATTTTTTCCAAAGTGTCGTCCGGATATTTTTGTCAAAACTTCAGGTTGAGCAAATACTATTGTACTGAAGATCTCAAACTGTTCATCAATTCAAATCACATCTCTCGGATATTCTCTCATGCTGCAAGGTGGCTCCGAAAATATTGCAAAATCCATCAGATCAGAGATCTTTGTTTTCTAGGCTGCTGGTTGATCTAGAGAGGGTCTAGTATAAGAGAGGAGCGAACTGGTTGGTTTTGAGCCAAACGAACTGTCAAAGCCAGAGCCAACCGAGCAGCGCCTACCTTGATTGCATTGGCAGTGTTACTGGAAACCATCAAGGCATAGGTTGCCAAGGCAGTTTGTTTTCAATCCGCTCCTCTCTTGTACTAGACCCTCTCTAGTAGCGCATTCGTTTATTATCGGGGTTAACACCAGTTCCAACCCAGTGCAAAACCGAACTTTTTGTCAGTGTGAACCTCAACCTGAGCTAGGTTTTAAAAACAAACGAGCAAACTGACGTTTGTCAGAAAACAAGCAGACCCAATCTTGATACCCGATCCAGGTTGGAACTGAATAATAAACGAATTCGCTATAGGTTGATCATGTTTTATTCTGAAAATCTTCAACGTGCTTCAACTATTAAACAATTCAAATCAAATTTTCAACTATGCACTGAATCACCTGATATGGTCCCTCACAACTCAGGATGGTATGGTATGGTCACCTTAGGATGCCTTCGTCATCTTGCCTTTCTATTTCACTTTGTTTATCTCCATCTCTTGATGAGAATACACCGTCAAATTCCACAGGAACTTTCGATGGCTTCATCTAAAATCTTCACCTCCTCCATCAAAAACTTGAGGAAAATCAGTCGGAACATTCGTTGACAGCATCTGGAATCTCAACCAGTTATGGAATTTTGAGACATTTTGTGCGTTCGATGGTCGCTTTTTCCCTCGAGTTTCATTTTCCTCGGTGTGTTTTACAAACTATTTAGGCTGCACGGCGAACGAGAACGACCCAAATTTGAGTTTAGTCAACTCATAAATCACATAAAGTGCAGGAACTCAGCGATGAGTAAATTTACCTCATGTTTTCCCAGGTTTTTCCAGAAAAGTAAAGATTGGATTCACTCAGTCTATTGGTACTACTCCGAGACTGAATCAAATTTTCGTCAATTTCCTCTTTTTACGGCAGATTTTTTAGGTTTTCCACAGGAAACCATGAGACAAATTTACTCATAGCTGAGTTCGTGCACTTTTGACGATTATGAGTGAACTAAACTCAAATTTGGGTCGTTCTCATTCGCCGTGTGTGTTCCATTTGGAGAATAATTTTCACTTCAATTTGACAGATGGAAAATTTTCAAGTAATAGTACACGGCAAATGAGAACGACCCAAATTTGAGTTTAGTTCACTAATAATCGCCAAAAGTTCAGGAACTCAGCGATGAGTAATAATCTTCTCGAACATCGGACGATCAACAACAGAGTGATTTTCGAACATTATAATTTATTTTCGAAGTGTCAAATGTAAGTGAAAATTCATCGAATGCCATAGTTCAAATCCATTGGTGCACTTCCATTTATTGAGGTTCTCAATTAAACGCACTAATCAGGACAATACTGCATTTTTAAACAAACATGAGCTTCTGATTGTAGTAAACAAACATCCAACGCCTTGGCAACGTGACCCGACTCAAATCAGACCATATTTCGCAGACAAAGGCATATACGTAGTAACTGTATCGCATTTGACCTAGCCCAAGTCTGCTGCGGCAATCCGTTCAATCGATCAAAACAAGCAGGATCGACATCATTGAGTGTGCCGAGTTATAAAGACTTGACTGTATATTCAAATTACTAGCGAGTAGGTGCTGACGCCAAAGCATCGGCTACGAGATAGCGCAAAAGCGCTCCTTCATGTAGAAATCCACGTTTCGATGAAATCCCTTATCAACGGAGGACGGAGAAGTGCAAACTTCAATCTAAATACCCAACAAAGGCGCATTGCGTCGCATCGTTTTTCGCAATGTCCGATGGCACATGTTCGGACCGAACGGACTTCTGTTTGATAACAAAATTTGCGTTTCCCCAACTCGTGATGTATGATGAAACAGACACACCTTGTTGCGGTCTTTAGGTCCGTTTGTATATAATTCAAAAAGTGAGTCGTGCGCCAATCTCAACCGCCGGCGCGTCACTCGTCAACATCGTGGGGACGTCATTGGCGACAGACTATAGTACCTACATACAACAATCATGAGGTGTAGACGGCTGTAATTGACGCTATCACGGTGCCTGTATAGACAATTAGAATTGATCTAAGTAATAGGCATACACAAGGTATCTGCAGACCGCCAATCAATGCGCAACGGATGGCAATATAGCGATGATTGCTTTTGACGCGCTGTATTGTTCCCAGACTGACCTTCGATTCGGATATTGGGAAGAGACTTGGCAATTGATAAACTGTGATTAGATTAGGCAAACACATGAGCTGAAGCATGTGGCTTTGAGATAAGATTAATTCACTTTAATTTTATTTTCAAATCCACTCAAATGAATTAGGTAGATCTTACATAAAACTTTGCTAATTCGATAATATTCTATTCTTTCGTTATAGTGCGGTTCAAACAGCGATAGCGGATTGGAAGCGAAACCGGCCAACTTCAAAGGAATCGAAAAGTAAGCTAGTGTTGAAGTGCATTCAATGTCGCACCGTTCTGGAAGCTAATTCTTTTTTTTTATGATTGCAGGTTCGTCGTCGATTCGGATATTCTCTTCCCGGTGATTGCCGAATGGTAAGTTCTTAAATTATTTATCAAAACGTTGATCGTTGAAATTTAAGGCGCACGTTACGTTCATCGTGCGACTCTGACTACTTCAAACTATGAGTTTGCTACGTTTTACGCCTTGTTGATAGTGACAAGACTCGTGTTGCATTTTTTAGGATTTCAAGCGAAATCCGACCCAATTTTGAGTTGATCTCATCGGCCTAATACGAACATTTGGATGGCATTGTACTCGAATTTCGATTCACTATGTGGATTACCCCCGTCTCCCCTATCCTGAGTTGACCACGACTATACAAATGCTCTGAGGTAGCATTTGGAACCGTATTCCATAACCATAAACCAAGGTACTTGGCGCCTCCATTATGGGGTAAACATTTGAACAATGGATAAGCCGCCGCATGGTAAGATTACAAATTTCATGACTTCTCAAATCCTTTCAATTTAAATCAACAGTAAGCTTAGTTATCGGTACCAGCTGATTGCTTTTTATTTCAAACAATTCAAAATCACTATATGCGCCTAATAACACTATGTCTGTAACATTTAAATGACACACATCGAGTTTATTCCAAAGCAGTCAAGTGTAGTCTTGTGCAAGCTATTGTAAGATTTATATTTATCACAATTGTGTATTGTAAGTACCAAGCAGTCTTGTTTTCGCTCTGCGAAAATATGCGCCATGATTCGACTCAATCCTCAGAACCGCTGTCCACGGGCGTTGCCTTCGGTGCGGGCAGGGCATTCAATGCTTGCTGCATCCTCTCCACCAGGTACTTGAGGAGCTCCGCCGGATGGACCTTCAGTTTGTACAACGTATCGAATCGTAGCGTAACCACTCGCATCCCCAGTCGTCTCAGATGGCGAATGCGCATCGCTTGCGACCCGATCAGGTGCTCTCCGTTGCTGTTGAAATACTCCGGCAGGAGAATCAGCACCGCAATGTTGACGTTGCGTTCCTTCATCGTGTTGAGGGAGAAGATATTTCCCATGCCGCACGGGTGGAAAATTGCGTCAACGAGGTACAGCTCGTTAACGGGCAGATGCTGGAGGATGGTAAACTTGGTCATACAATCCGACCCGCCGGCTATTTTCTCCAACTCCGGGGTGATGTAGTTCACGATTCGTTTGATTCGACCATCGTGGAATAGCGATTTGGCCGAGTGGTCCCGTGGAAGTAGCGGACCATCGTAATCGTTGCATTCCAGTGTGAGACTTGTGTCGAACACCTTGAGCATGCTTCGAACCCGGTCCAGTTTCTCCGGTCGGGTTCGAGCGTGTAGGACGTCTAAGAAGTAGGGATTGAAGATTCGGTTCACGAAAGTCAGCGGATAGCGCTCCAAGCAGACGTAGCAGAACATGATATCGATGATTTCCATCGGGTGGATTTTGGTAAAGTTGAGATCCAGATACATGTCCAGGGTCTCCCAGAATTTATTGCCGTTGACTGGCTCGTAGTCGAGATAGCCGAAGGGGCAGAAGACGGCGCGCAAATAGCCGGGATCCAGATTTTGGTGGTTGGCTATGAAGAACTCGCTGCAGCCATTTAGAATGTGAGGATTCCTCAAGCGGAATACCTAGAATGGGAAGAAATCAGATTGACTAGAAGGAATCAAGGAATCCATAGCTCTTACCTGGCAGTGTCGTAACAAGGTAACAATCAAACTTTGCGAAACGATCTTAACGCCCTTGGCCTTCACGTATCGTTCAATGGCTCGCTCAATTTGATTCTCGGAGTATCCCAAATTGGTGAACGACTCCAGCACCGCTTCCAGCTGGTCCTCGCTTACGGCATGAATGTTCGTATTCAACCATCGAGCCAATGTCTGGGTAATCCTAAATGGAGACAACTTGCACGTCTCCAAAGATTGCAGCACATCAATCGTGCTGTTTGGGGACATTTGCCACCAAACCGAAGGAATCCTCCGCTCCAGCACGTTCAACACCGCTCTTCGGCTAACCTTCAGGTACGGCAAAATCGCAAAAACCTGATGAATATTCTTATCGTCGATCTGCTTCTCCTGGTCGGCTATTCCACTCCAGAACTTCTCCACCATATCGTACCTCCTGCACTGGGTGAGACTCTCGATCGCCTCACAGCACTGCTCAATATCCAATTTGTTCTCCGAGCATCGATATACCAACTCGTTACCCAGCATATCAATCGTCTTGACCAGCTCCATATAGTTCCTCAATCCATCCAGCACTTCCAGAACCGTACGGTTATCCCCTCGATAGACGATGCAGCTAATAATCTTCTCAAATTCCTCGCTGCTTTCCAAATGCTTCAACTCCAGTAAATTCTCAATTTTCAAAATCTTCTCCACCGCCCGTACAGCTACTTCCGGGGTAAATTCCTGCTCATCCAACGATTCCACCACCAGGCAAACTCCCTGTGCTGTTAGACAGTCCTCGATCGACTTTATAATTTCGTCCTGATTGCTATTGTTTGCATTTTCATCACTCGACTCTTGATCAACTGCGCCATTCTCTTCCTCCCCCGTTGCAGCAGCAGTTGTCGCCACTGCAGCTGGTGGTTGGCTATCAATCACTGTATTCGATATAAAAGCTGCAAACTCATCCTCGGCAATCTTCCGCACCACCACCGGCAGTTCCTGGATGTCACAACCCTGTTGCACCAGAATCGTCGTATTTCGCACGAATCCTTTGCCTCCACCACTGCCGTTGTTGCCGCCCTGGTTTCCGCCGCTGGATCGACCTCCCGTGCCGCCTCCCTGCGACGAGAACAAGCAAGCCCTAGCGAAACTCGGCAAAAAGTACTGCAATCCGGATCCGGTCCGGTAGAATCGCAACGGGCTCAGCATACAGCGGGACATTTTGCTCACACTACACTCTAATTTTACTAAAGTATAAGATCCGATTTGCACAACGATTTAGCACATTTTTAAACCTGATTTTTTCCACTGAAACTTGCTTTCACATAACCACCAGCTGATTGTGAAATTAATCGATAAACCGAACAAAGCGTGCTGGTTGATGCTCTTCGAATTTCGGTGCCAAAACAGAAAGGAAAAACGGAAAACAACACGACGATGAATGATGACAGCGAGAACTACTGTCATCGATGTTGGTGGGAGGCCAGGCGAACAAAACCACAAAACGAGACCAGCCAGCGCTTGGTGGGTGGTGGGTGGTAAACAAAACAGGGTGGCTCGCCGGTTTCGACAACAGCATTATCAAGGTTTAGCAAAATGGTGGGAACTATTATAGTGGGAACGATTGATTATTTTTTGCTGGGGAACGATTGATTTCTTTATTCCCGTGGTCGTTTTTCCTTCACGGATAGAAGTCCCGTTAGGCCGTTTGCAATGCTGAGTTTCAAAATTGTTTCAAGCTACTCGACAGTTGTAAAATTTGAAACTGTCAAAAATAAAACTGCACATGCGCAACGCAGAGTGTGTTTCGTATATACATATGTGTGCTAGGGGCATCCCACTCTAAACTTTAGTTCCAATATTTATTAAATTGTTTTAAATATCTCGTAAGTATCGCTAAGTATGTTTAAGTATTTTGTTTCTAGGTTTTATTTTCATCGTAGTAACGTTTGTTTATGACCGGCTGCTAGTGCTGTGTTTGTTGTTTTTTGCTCCATCAGTTCGATAATTTTAGTCGCGTGATCTGATCATTTTTAGAGTATACAATTAGTATATTTGAAATGAAGTGTGAATTCATTGTAAGGGGTAAGTATTTCAAATCTGCCTACAAAAGGATATTACAAAATGTATGTTTTTCAGTGATCTAAAATGTGAAAATGAAATACACCAAGTCTTTTTGGGGCCTCCCTTAGCTCAGTCGGTAAAGGCGCAGCTACAAAGCAAGACCATGCTGGAGGTGGTTGGGTTCAATTCCCGGTCCGTGTCTAGGAATTTTTCGGGTTGGAAAATTTCTCGACTTCCCTGCACGGATAGAAATCTCCTTATACCTTTAGGCAAATTTCTATTGCTAATTAGTCATAAAATGTATAAGTCAACTACTAATCAGACGCCTTGCAAAAAGTTAATGAAGATCATGTGTCAAATGAAATGTATAAGCGGTCACACATACCTTTTATGCATTCTTATAGGACCTATGTGGTTTGTCTTATGGAATGTATAAGGCTGATGTTTGGCAAAAATGTATAAGTGAAACACACGAATAAAATAATTGATTTTCGTTTCGTGTGGGCATAGAAGTATGATTGGACTTGCCACACAATTATACTAATGCAAAAATGGTACAGGCATCGAAAGCTCTCAATTAATAACTGTGGAAGTGCATCTAGAACACTAAGTTGAGAGCACGCAATAAGCTAATATGCGATATGCAATAAGCTTGAAATGCGAAGAAGAAGAAGAAGAAGAAGAAGAAGAAGTCTTTTTGATCCATTTTCTCTAACATCAGAATCCTAGAAGACGAATGTGGAACCAAAGAGCTTTAAATGTGAACAGTCCCCTACAATTAAAGAACATTTAATTACTGTACAGTCAGTCTAGCGTGTTCATCATATGGAAGTGATTCATATTTGTGCAAGAATGTATGTTGTTGTTGACTGTATATATTATGAAATAAAAGCTGAACACAATGAAACTGTTTATTCTCAAGACTACTAAACATTTAACAGACTAATCATAGTTTACCAAACCACCGAATCTATAAATAACAATAATTTGAAAATAACATTGAAACATGGAAAATGGAGCATTTTTGTAAGGTTATCGTTCAGCTCATTAACCCATTCAATGAGCATGCCCCCAATATCGCCACATTTTTTTTATAATCTGTGACGTAAAATCATTGTAACTATCCACAAGAAGCAAGTTCAAGCCTCTAAGGGAGCATCCATTAAGTACGTCACGCTTTGGGGGTTGTTAAAATGTGTGACAAGCAATGCATTAGGTAGTGGAACAAAGTGACGAATGGGAAGGGGGAATACATTTTCTCTAATTTTGGCGAGGAGTGCTTAATACATGCTTTCCAACTCAATGGTTCCAACACTATTGGTTTTTAGGGTGAAATAATAGATTTTCTTTAAACGAACCTTTAGGACCATAATTTCCGCATGGGAATGTTCAAAGTAAGCGTCTGTAAGAAAAATATCAGGTGAATTGAATGTTATGATAGTCAATTTTAATAACCGTTCAAAATTTTGTTCTGAACCGATTTTTCGATTTGAACTTGTCTAACTTGGCGACCTTTATGAGCTTCAAGTAGAAGGGCATCGTATGGGGGGGAAATCCATGAGAATGTTGTTCATTTCTGCGGCTCATAATGCTACCGAAGCTATGAGACTCGGCTCTAAGGATGCCACAAGTTCCGATACCAGCTCCCATCAGCTTAAATGTTCGTAGTCATTATCACAGGATCAAGATCCTAGTGGGTGAAAACTTCGGTGAAAACCTCCGTGAAAACTATACTTATAACAAGATAGTCATTTCCAGATCTGTATTTTGAACGATACATTTAGAGCAACCGTAACGGTCGTTGTCATTTGCGCGACTATTTTAACAGTGCACAGCGCTCGCATTTTAGTTTAGTCACTCTTCTCCACACCGGTCGCTGCTATCGCGGTTATCAATTTACTCGCCGTAGTCCGTACCGGTAGTGAGCATTTTGACATTTCTACGGATAGCAACCTTTCTCCCGCGCTACTATCGCGCTGCTAAATTTGGTAACGCGCTTCTCACCGAGAAGCCGACTGCTATTTTAGTTACTCGTATGGCAACCCCCGATACGGTAGCTGCACTATGAGGGCTGCTAAAATGAGTTTAGCAGCGTACCGTTACGGTTGCTCTTAAACGAGCAATAGTCGAAAGGTTCCAATGGCCATCAGCATAGCTTCCTCCTGGGACTGGACAAAAGAGTCACGTACGATACGGTCAGTGGCTTGTAGTTAATTCTATTAATATTGAAACTCACAACTGTTTGACACCGGGACTTCTGCGCCGTCTCTGAAGGGGACGTGTCTACATCCCTGACTGCTGGTCTAAGCCAGTTGGCAGTTGTTGGGGTGGACACCAAAGGCCTGTTATGCTCCCGGGCCTCCGGGCGTTGGCGAGGTAGGGAGAGTTTTCGGAATTATGAGAAGCTTTACAAAAAGGGTTAATTTAGGCTTTAATTGAATGGTTTTATTGATTCAATGGCGGGTGGAAGGTGAAACACTTACGCTGCTGCAATGTCTATGTCAAGCTGCCGATCCTCGTGGCTATCGGCGGCTGTAGTGTGAACTTATCCTAGATCCTAGAAGACCACGGACGTTTGCTGTCCCAGAGGTTGCAATTTCAGTCTCCGAAAGGCACACTATCACCAACAATCAATACGAAACTAACGATTTTAAATTGGCTCACTACTTGACTAGCCTATTGGTCCCAAGCAAACGATCATCGTACCCCATTCTAGTCGAAATTCTACTATTACACAATGTTTGTTTTGATTCGTCATGTAAGTTTGACAGATAAAATGAGGGGTTAGTGGATTTTCGAGGGGTGAATCGATTAGCTTGGGACCAAAGAGAGTACCAGAGCTGTGCCAAAAAGTTGAGCACGTTATTTCTGGACCTTCTAGTCTTAGAGTTACCTCTATGCTATCACCGCCTTATAGGCTCTTCACACACGACCTTCCAAAAGTGCACTCTAACAACGTGCCTCACGTCTCTGAACCCCATCCAAATTTCACCAGATCTACTCTGTTCCACAGCTCCAGACTCACTGACCTTCTCTCCTCTTCATCATAGCTCATCCACCACCCTTTTGTTATGCGTTTTGCTCTATCCGCTGTTCAATCGTGGCCCTCTTCATTATGGGACACTGAACACTGTTTCTTTTCCTATCGTCTCACAATTATACGCAACGAAAAACTGTTACCCGATCGGTAACAATATAATAAATGTTAAATGTACACAAAATCAGATAAGATTTGAATCCAAACGTCAGATAAACAAACAAATGAAATTTGTTTATAGGCTATAGCAACCGAGCAAACAAACCATCGCTAGATATTTCATGAGTATTTCTTAAGTATTTATAAATATTCCCAGGTATCTATAGGTATATCGATAGAAATACAAAGTTTAGAGTAGGATGCCCCTAGTATGTGTGCGTGTGCAAATTTTGTTTGCTTCGGTGATTTTAGTACGAACGGAGAAGGAGATTCTTATTTAAGAATGTTATTATTATTATTATCTCTATTTAGGAGATTTTCAGCAACATTTAAGAATGTTTACTGGAACAAGATGATTACAACAACTTAATCCAGTGTCAGGTAACGAGTTCAAACTACGAGAAAGGGTTCCGGACGATTATTCTGTCGAAACATGCAGGATAGTCACTGAACCACACACTACTAAAAAGTCATGTAAATTTCGGTTCCCTGAGACCGACACATGTAAGCGGGCCTTTTGACATAAGAATCAGTTGAAAGAAACGTAAAAATCAATTCAATCAAACGTTGTCTTCGTCGACTAGCTGATGTTTCGGTTTGAGAACACTTAATTTTACATGAAATTTTTGTTTACGTTCTATGATTTACGTCCAATATGGATTACGTCTCGTGTAAAAGTAGTTATTTCTAAGTGTGCAGGATGTCTTGGAAAAAATATCCAGGGATGTATTTGGAGACCTATGGGCACCTTAGGGTCTTTTCAAGAGGTGGTCACTCTACACACTTGTGTGCCGCAGCTGTACCGGTGCCAAGTGCCAAGAAGTCATTGACCTGACTTTTGATTGCTTGTGAATAATGCCTTGTTTGGCAACCCGGTATTTTACAGCTCTTGTTTTTGTTTTGTTTTGCAATGTTTTCAAAAACGACACGGACTCCAGTTGGGTTGGGACTACACACTGGACGCATCCGTCTCCGAGCTCCGTTGCTACACGATCCTTCCATCTTCGGCGGAAGGCCGACCCCGCACAACGAACGTCAATCATTAGTCAACCAACTCTTTTGGGAGCCCGCGGAGGAAACGGATTTGCTCCGAATTTTTCACCGGCCGGAACACACGTCGGACTGATGATCGACGCACCGCTGACCCAAACCGGACGGAGCCAATTTTCCAAGCAGACCTACTTGTCAGAGTCCACCACCCCAATAAACAAATACCATAAACGAACAATAACCCAAATAGTCGAACTTTTCCACAAATGGTTTGGATGATACCCGAAACACGTCGTTAAGCAAAAGAACCATAACAAAATTATTAGGGCAACCCGTACACTCTGCCGGACAATTCAATCAGCTTCAAGGTCTACAGCGCTTCCAAAACAATCGCTCACCAGGCCAGCAAAAATAGCATTCTCCACTTCTTCAATACCCCACCCGTATGCCGTCCAAGGATCTGCGGCTAACTGCATTCACCACCAAGGACTGCCACCCGTCGTAAGTGCGAATGTTCCCACTGAAATCGGAAAGTTCCTCCTCCGGATTGGTCGAGTTCCCGAACGTAGCCCTGGCGGTGAACGCCATCATGAAGTGCAACCACAGCGCGATCAATCACAAATGCACAAAACTCCCGTTCATTACGAAGCTGTCAGTTGGAAGTGCAAAAAGGCAGGAGTTAAAATAGTTTGTTGAACTATTTGAGATTTTGCCAAGACGGTCCTCCACCATTATATGTTGGACGATGGAATGATTGGTGTAGCAGTCACCGCCATGGATGTATGCGAGCAGTTCGAATGGTCGGATGGTATAGTTTTTGTTTGGTTGTTGACTTTCCGATTAAAACTGAAGCACCGCTTGTCGTGACCGGCCCAAGATTTCCAGCGTCGGCCACGGCTGCACGGATGTGGCTGCTTCCAATGCTGCTGCTGCTTTAACATTTTAACACATGCACACTGCGCAGGCGCAGAAAAATTTCAGTGTTGCCAGTAACTTTAAAGATCATAAAAATTGTAACCATGGGTGCCAAACAACGCCAATGACTGCACCCGGGTGTGCCCAAGTTTGAATTTGGCACACTGTGTAGAGTGACCAATCCCTTGGGTCTTTTCAATTAATACAGCTGATTTCACGAGAGAATCTCTGAGAGACGGTATTTGAATTGTTGGACAGCTGAAGTTCTTCAGAATAATACTTGATCATCCTGAAGTCTTAAAAAAATATCCTGATAAGATGTTGGAGACCTGTGAGCACCTGAAGGTTATTGCAATAATTTCTGAGAAACCTGGTCTCACGAGAGAATACCTGATAGACCTTATTTAAATTGTTGGACAGTTGAATATCTTTAGAATAAAACTTAATTATACTGAAATACTTTAAAAATATCATGAGAAGTTATTGGAGACCAATGAGCACCTGAACACTTTGCAAGTTTAAAAAGTCCATTAATGGTAACTTTCAGTACTTTTATTAAAACTTCAAAGTTAAAGCATTAGATGGTTGCCTTTGTCCAGTTCGAACGAAATCTTGAACTTTCCTCGTGAAAGAGCCCATCAGCGGCCGCACAGTGGAAACGGACACAGAATCAGCGCATTTCTTTCATTATGCCCGCATTTGCTGGATGTCCTTGACTGCCCCGCCACTTCGTTGAAGTCGCTGCTTTGAAATTGCCCAGTATTTTTCGATAGGTCGAAATTACGAGCAATTCGGAGGATTCATTAGCTTGGGGAAATAATCGATCTTGCATACCACTCTAGAACCACCTTGGAGTAGTGACAGCTGACCAAATCGGTCCAAAAGATAACTTTGCCCCTATGCTTGCGGATGAACGGCAATACACACTTTTTCGGGCATTCTTCGATGTGATCTTGGGATGTCATCGTCGAGGATGTGACGAATGGTTCCGTTTTCAGGCCACAACTGCAAATCGCTTGTCAAATCATGGCTTTCTTCGCGAACTTGTCGGCAAACACGAACATGAATTTTCCCGGCACATCCCCACGTCCAGTCGCGATGTAAAACTTTTGACCAGGAAGCTGCTTGAAATCGAGTTTGACGTATGTTTCGTCATCGATCAAAGTGCAGCCCTTGTGTTTCGTCAATACACGGTCGTTCAAGAGTCTTGCACGCTTTTTGGCCATGGAATTTTGCTTTATGTGCCGGTTCTGATGTTTACTGGCTTTGTACGAATTGTATCCTTCCCTGGCAAGGCTGTTCCGCACTGTTTGAAAGTTGGCGCTGTACCTTCTGGCCACATCTCAGATCGAAAGACCGGAGTTGGCTTTAACGCACCTCACTCAGGGTTACCTTGTAGGTTTTAGCACTCGGCAAACTGTTGTTTTCGGCATCTTCAGCACTATAGCCAGCTTGGAACCTGACCACACCAGATTTTCCAGTTGTTTTGTTTGTGCACAATATTTTTTCTTCTTTCGAGTTCCATTTGACGTTATTTCTGAACGCAATCGACTACTTTGATCAAACTTGCACCAGTTGTTCTCTACAGAAGTGTAAACAGACCCCTGTCAAAGACTTTTCAGTTCCAATACTAAAGGCGTGCTAGCAACGCGCGAGGGGCGTACCAATTTACTTTTAGTCAGCCTTTATTACCAAATGTTTCATAAACTCGCAACCAACTTCTCACCTTTTCATTTGCAAATTTAAATCTTACCACCAGAAAACTAGAACTCACAATGTGCCATCCCCTTCCTCTATTCCAGTCGCGTCATCAAGTCCCCAGCGGAGGCGGACGTGCTCCGCTACGTGGCCAAGGTTTCCTCGGATGCGCACAAGCAGGTGATGAAGAAGATCCGCCCCGGCTGGCACGAGTACCAAGGAGAGGCCGAGTTCCTGCACCATGCCTACTCGGTCGGTGGCTGCCGTCACGTGTCGTACACGTGCATCTGCGGAGCAGGTTCCAATTCGGCCATCTTGCACTACGGCCACGCCGGTTCGCCGAACGATCGTCTCATCAAGGACGGAGAAATGTGCCTCTTCGACATGGGAGCCAACTACAATGGCTACGCGGCGGACATAACGTGCAGTTTCCCAGTGAATGGGAAATTCAGCGACGACCAGAAGTTGATCTACAACGCAGTGCTGGCTGCGAGGGATGCCGTTTGTGGAGCTGCGAAAGAAGGTGCTTCCTGGGTCGATATGCACCAGCTGGCCAACAGAGTAATGCTGGCCGAGATGAAGAAGGGTGGTTTGCTTCAGGGCGAAGTGGATGACATGATGACTGCTGGAGTGAATGCCATTTTCCAACCGCATGGCCTGGGACATCTGATAGGGCTGGACGTTCACGATGTCGGTGGATATCTGCCCCATTGCCCGGAACGTCCCTCTGAACCCGGTGTCAATCGTCTGCGTATGGCTCGTAATCTGATGGCCGGAATGTACGTCACCATCGAACCGGGATGCTACTTTATTGAACCGGTAAGTGCTTTAAGGTTTGGAAGTTCCTTGGAAAGGACTATTTGATTTTGGACTTTTTTTTCCCGTAGTTGCTCAACAAAGCCTTCGCCGATCCGAACTTGAGCAAGTTCTTGGTCAAGGAGCAGATCGATCGCTTCCGCAACTTTGGTGGCGTGCGTATTGAGGATGATGTTCTTATCACCAAGACGGGAATCGAGAACTTTACCTTTGTGCCGAGAACGTAAGTGGTCTAAACCGAGGAATTTCCTCTATTGTTGTTGAGATAAGATACTAGCTAATAGTTATTTGTTTATTGTTTTATTTCAGCGTCGAGGAAATCGAGGCATGGATGGCAAATTAGAAGAGTCAACGAATGCTTCAATAACCCATTTGAAACAAGTATACATATTCAACTATGAAAGAGGTTTGAACAATATATTATTATTTTCGTTACAAAAGATGTACACACCACACCTATGAAGATTGTTAAGCAGATTTATTAAAATATTTGATTTAATTTTGAATACATATTAAGAACATTTTGAATGTTTTGTCCGAACGACCCTCATTACAAAACTGTAGCAACAATGAGAGTCTTAACTCATCATCATCATCCGTTCAATGATAGTCATTTTGAGTGCCCAAGACCTCGCTGATAACATCCGGTTATGTTCTGGGAACCATTGGGGAAGTGGCCAGTTTCTGACTAGGGTCAAAATCCTTGAAAATTCAGTGGAAAATTTGAATGATGTTTAACCAAATGGATAGTTTCAAGCCCTATTTACATTTTTTGCAAACCACAGGTTGCAACCACTTCGTTTGTGTTGCAACTATAGACACTGTGGGCCTTATTACGGGTGTCACTGATGTAAAAACATAAACATACATGATAAGATAAAACATATCTAGCGGCCAGTTCACATTTACCTACTTTGGACTTAGAGTATAATCACAATAATATTCACCTACTCTTGGGTATAACTGACTTACTTTTGGGTAGAAAGCGAATTTTCAATTCCATAAGATTTGAACACAAGTAAATGAAAACTACTTTGACTCACTTTGCCTACTTTTGACTTTCTGCAATAAAGTGTCGAGATGTGTGAAAATAATTACTTTTAGGTACTTTTTTCTTACCATGTACCCTTTAGGTTTGAGTGCTGGAATCATTTTTGGACCGGTCGTGTGTAACCGAAGTGTACAAAGTGTGGCTTTGAATTAATCAACTACTATGATTACATGACATTGGTTGGCCTTGGGAACTAGGCGTATGATATGTTTCTGTATAGAAAGGGATGTCCTTGGGAGGTGGTAGATCGTTAATTTTGGCAAATTGAATAGAAATGTAGTAATGGTGTCACTATTGGATGATAAATAGACATTCGACATATTAATAAAGAGCTCTAGAGAATAATAATTGCAGCCGATCGTGAGAAGGCGTAGAGTTTCAGAAGTATACAAGTTCGAGATAGACTGTGCATTTGAAATCGGGGAAAATTGGCTGAAAAATTACATCCTATGGGAATAATTATACGCAAAATCAATGCGCATCGTCCGTGGCTCGCGTTCGGTGTGGAAAAGTCAAGAAATTCGTGAAATTTGAGTGTGAAATCTTGCGATTAATATCTCGTCATTCAAGTCCAAGAAAAGTGGATGTGACTAGGAAGCCATTTTGGTTTTACCTAGAGCAGGGGCTAAGAGAAGAAAGTGTTTTGTACACATGCGAAAAGAAGAGGAAAAAGTGGAATAGTATAGAGAAACAGTAAAATATCAAAAATATAAATTAGTTCATAAGTGAAGAGAGAAAAATAAAAAAAAAATATTCAGCAACAGGCAAGGAGGACCTATCACACGGTCACAAATACCAACCAAAATCGTCAGAAAGGGGAGTACTTCGGGTGGCAATCCCGGAACACGGAAAGCGTTGCAACAGGGACCTAATGCAGTGGCGGTGGAGTTATCGGATGTAGCGTATCTGGAGCCCATTGATTTTGAAAAAGAAGTGGCAAAACATCCAGCGGAGGTCGGTCGGATTTTATTCGACGCAGGATTCAAAAGCTTCAAGGAGATAACGAAGATCGGAAAATTCAAGTACAAGGTTGAGCTGACTAGCAGAGAGGACTATCCAAAATCGTCAAGGTTGGATCTGGAGCATAAGAACCTGAAGTCCTTCCTGCCAAACAGGAGCAAGGAAACGATATCTAGATAGAGCTGGAATTAGGGCGTAACAGCCTTTGTAAACAATGACTTCTCTCGTTGATTACTCGGAATTCAAGGCACGCCTGCACAAACCAACACATCCATCGGGAAGGAGAAGTCTTTTTCTACTCGATGGTGATGTCGATTTACCAGGGAGAGCCATGGCTTCCGAGAAATCATCGAGAGAAGTCATTGTTTACAAAAGCTGTTACGCCCTAATTCCAGCTCTATCTAGATATGCTTTTTGACCAACGTTCCGTTGAATTTCGACGCTAGCGATTTGAAGGACTTCGTAGTAGCGGACACAGCGGTATTGAAGGTGGAAAGAATAAAGAGAAGGGGTCGAAACCAAGAGCTGGTAAACACCAAAAACCTGAAGATAACGGTACAAGGTTCCCGGGTACCGGAAATGATCAAAATCTATGGCTGCAACTTTCGGGCAGAGTTATTCATCTTCCCAGTTAAGCAATGTTTAACATGTTGGCGTTTTGGGCACACAGCAAAACATTGCCAGCGTAGGCCCAAGTGCCAAAGTTGTGGGGAGGCACACGAAGCGGGAGAGTGTGACAGGCAAACGAAGTGTTTGAACTGCGAAATGGATCATGTTGCAGGTGACCGCAACTGCCCGGCCAGGAAAAAGAGAGAGGAAATTGTACGAGTGATGGTTAAATCGAACATCCCCTTCGTGGAAGCAGCGCAGCGGGTTGAAAGTACAAATCAATACAAAATTCTTGAAGAGGACGATTTCCCGGAGCTAGAAGGAATGGATTCAGCAGAAGAGGAAGGTGTAGGAAAGAGAACAGGAGCAATTCCGAAAAGGCGGGACAATAAATCGAAAGTTGTCATTCGTAATGGGAGACGTACGTACAGCGAAGCACTGACGGAATCACAAGGAAAAAAGAATCAACAAAAATGTAGTTGCCAAAACACACTGATCTTGGAAAATCAGCATAAAGTGACTGAATTCGAGGCACTCTTCGAACAGTTGCGTAGAATACTGCTCCAGAGTGTGGGAGGATCCTGGAAGCTGCCAATAATCTCACTGAGAAACCACATCATAAGCCGCCTGAGACTTCCCCGAACAGACATCGATACGGACCAACTGCTAATAGAAATTTGCTCTGAACTGGATAGAATCATCAATAAGGACAACGACATCATAGAACAACCGCAGAATCAGAATCAAAACAACGCTCACTTGTTCCGTGTGGGGTTGGGAGACAGCAATCTCTGTGAATGTGGACAAGGTTACCAGGACGCTGATCACATCCTTTGGTCTTGTGTGGAGTATCGTGGAGTCAGATCACATTTTTATGATTCCCTTCGGGCTCGAGGTAGACAACCTAATGTTCCAGTTCGGGATATTTTGGCTAGACGCGATCTGGAGTTTATGAAACTCATATATGTTTACTTTAAGGATATTAACCTTAGATTGTAAGTTTGATTAACCTTGTGTTTAGTTTGTGTTTTGTACGTCTGGGGTTTTTTTTTCTCAATGTTTTCAAGATGAATAGAAATAATTTCATGCTTTAGGATTAATTAAATAGTTGTATCGTAAACCACATTTAAAACCTCCTTCTTCCCTTTTTCCATCCAAAAAATTTTAAATCTCCACTAACCTCGAGACGACCGCGAGTACTCGGTCCAGTTCCTTTAACTTTAAATATAAGAAAGTAATAATGTATAACGCAAAGGATAACTCGGCTCTGTAAAGTTTATTCGATTGAGCCTGTACAAATAAAGTAATTACAAAAAAAAAAATCAAAACGAAAACAATAATGGGGACTAAGGCCTTCAGAATTATCCAGCATAATATACAGAGCATAAGACCAACAGAAACCAGAGAAGAGCTTTACACCTATCTAGTAGATAATGATGTCAGAGTAGCTTTATTACAGGAGATTTGGTTGAAAGATAAGGAGCCTTTCGTAATGAGGAACTTCAACTTTGTTTCAAAAAGAAGACCCCAAGGCTACGGGGGCGTAGGAATTTTGGCACATAGAGATTTGGAGTACCAGGAAATAGATATACCAAATGTAGGATCCGTAGAAGCAGTAGGAATCAAGGTAAAAGGAGGAATGGACCCGATAAACTTGATCTCAGTATACCTGGCACCTGGAACTGAATCGAGCGTTAGGCAAGATCTAGAGGACCTTTTCGTGTTTTTGGAGCGGCTAGCAATTCACAGTCACAAATAAGCATACCCATTGAATAAATGCTGTATAACAGTGTACAATGCTGAATAAAACAAGATGTCGAATTATGTGCTGAAAAAAGCTCATTGAGATCGATAGATGCGCCTTTATTCCGCCGTTTGCCCTGATATGATTAATTTACTTATTAAAAGCTTTATAAACGTTGACTGTCTTCCTGATTCAGAACCAGAAGTTTGATCTAATAACAAACTGAATAAGTGTAATTTGCACATACATTGACGCTTTAATCCGACTGTTTCAATTGATTTAATAACATGCTTATTATAAGTCTAATAATTGTTTTCTAGCTCCATTACTAGATTCCATTGCATTGCTTAATAATATTGCTGAATAAAGGTGAATACAGTCAGCATAATAGCTCTTATACCACTATGCGTCCATGTTTTAATTGCATGCTTTATAAATGCTTTACAAACGGCGTATTCATTCATTATTCCACAACAGTTCTTCAGGCTAACAACAAAACGAAATTGGTAGCATAGTGGTTACCGTTTCCGCTTTCCAAGTAGAAGGTCGCGAGTTCAATCCCAGCCTCAACCCTTTTTTTATTTATATTCTACTCCCAATTAAATTAAATCGTAATCATAAATCGTATCACTCACGACAACCAATTCATAGATTTATAGAAAAGAATAGCATCCTTTCCATCGAAATTAGAGAGATGGAGAGGTAACGTTGGTCTAATGTTAAACAACTATGAATGAATTAATCATTCTCACATCTCCTTGCATTAGCTAGAGTTACGACTGGAAGTGCTGATAGGTTTTCAGATTCAAGCTTTTATTGCTTATTTAGCTGCTCATATGATGTATTCTAGGATAGCTCAGATGGCAAGGCAAGCGGCTGATGATCGGAAGGTCATGGTTCGAATCCCATTTAACGACATGTGTGTGTATGTATGTATGCATGTAATAAGTTCGACAGAAATAATGACACAACAATCACTAACG